CTGTATTCTGGAAATAAAGTTTGGGTTGACTTGGCATTTGGAAGCCCTGCTAGATTAAGAATGTTTTAAGGTGGCCATATGTTCTTTCTGTATAGCAGTTGTGAAAGTTTCACTGTGCAGTTTGACAAAACAACTAAAAAGTGAAAACTTTTTTTAGTGAAACTTGAAATCATCAATTTATATCTGAACTTAAAGGGACAGTCTGACCTTGCACAGGTTGTGGTCCACAATTTTCCTCCATTCACCTCACTATATGGCTGAAAACGGCAATGATGTCCAATTATTTAAATAAATTTCCTGTTAATTATTGCAGTATAGGGTATCATGGAAAATGCATAATGTCCCAATAGAAGTAAAGCTGAAAGCTTTTCTAAAGAGAAAATATGAATGCAGACCCAAATTTTGTGGCATTGCGTCACATGCTGGAACCTTAAAGTTGAGAAATCATTTACATTTTTTTTTTTTTTTACCTTTTTAACCCCTTAAGGACACATGACATGTGTGACATGTCATGATTCCCTTTTATTCCAGAAGTTTGGCCCTTAAGGGGTTAAAAAAATTGCAGTACCTATACAGTATATTAAGGTGGATTTCCAGCCCACACCTGATGTGATGGGTTCATTTGATAGTCCATATTTTTGAAGTAGTGCTGGAATCTCAAAGGCCTGTAATTGTTTACCTGGTAAATAACATGATTTTGTTTTTTCTTGTATATTTAAAATTTGGATTTTAAACAAGAAATATAATAGTGACACATACAGTACATATTTTTCACTATGTGGCTGGGACTAATAGCATCCTATACCGGCTATGAGGTGCAGTTAAAATATTTTTTTTTTAATTATTATTGCATTCTCTTTTTCATCACACTAAGACAGCATTTTCTGTCTTTCAAAGAGGTTGGCTTTTGCTTGTCCAGCAGCATAAAGTTTTGATTGATTTATTTTGGTTGTTCAGGATTCCTGACTGGGGCCAAGATGCGTTGGGGTACTACTCTTAGTAAATACCCTACAGAGAAGGAATTTTCCAGTTTTCAACTATACAGCTCAGTCTTAGCCAGCTGCCCTTTGCAAATACAACTTCTGTTCACAAACATTACAAGCTATTCACAGTGCTTCATATCTACATCTGTACACATACACTTGCCTAAAGTGTTGGCTGTAGAAATTCAAGCCTAAGGGTCTTGCATGGTCAATTACCAGCAGGGCCAACTCAACCTTTCATCCTTTCAGGGTTGATATTTACATACTATGAAGGTGGCTAATGATATTAGCTATACCCCAGGGCATACTCTCCTGCATGTCACGTAAGCTGCAATTCTCATGACTTTACATTAATAACTATTTCCTGAGCAGAACAGGTGTCTGAGCAGAACTGCTAGGTGGGGTATATATTGGCCTTTGTTACCAACTTCTCATGCTGATTTTCTGTTGAAGTTCTGAATTAAGTCTAGGAAGGCAAGCTAAGTTAAGGAAAGTTTATTCAGTAATCTCTGAATTGTAGTGAATTAAAGTTGGAATGGCAAACATGCTCCAACTCTGCTATAGCAATTCAGATTTCAGTTCACTACCGTTCTACAATATAGAATCCATGCATACATTAGCAATATCAATTTAATTCATATTTGAATTGCATTGGTGGATAAAATGTATCAGCACACAGTCAATGACATTCATATATGAATTACATTTTTAATGGTAAGTGGGAAGTTAAACTCTCCCAATAACAATAGGTGTGCAGATGTCTGACATGAGGAACCTCAGTTTTGGTTAATCTGATCTAAAAAATGTTTAGACACAAAACTGCGTGATGGTGCCCTCAGCCTAAAAGCACGATGACCATGTACTTGTTATGGTGTTCAGACTGTCTCATTCATAAAGCTAGTCACAGCCATCTTTTTATGCGATGTCTGCAAATCTCTTGAAAGCTGTGAGAGAGCCTGTATAAGTTAGTTGTGCGAAAGGGGGATTACTCCCTTTAGGACATTAAAGTTGGAGCTGTGACAATATAGTTTCAACTGTAATAATACAATGAGAGACCAAATATAAATATTTTTGCACCATAAATTGTGAAAAGTGCATAAATATAGTAGTTGAATTGTGTCTCTTTAAGCACATTATAAAAGGAAATATAAGGTTATTTTTTCCTTTTTAAATTATATGATAAAAATATGGACAGCTTTTGGAACAGATATATAAATATTATTGAATAACTTAATTTTCTAAATGAGGTCTAAATATAGAAATGATTTCATTTTATGTGGCTATGGTTTGGTGGTAATCTGTGTATATGTGTATTTATGTTCACAGTACTAGGTGATGGCCACATGAGAACACACTGGTAGCTGTGTTTGGCATTGCAGCTTGCAAGTTCCAGGTTTTATACAATTGTACCAGAAACCTTGTCACCATTGTTAAAGGGGAACTGTCACCTCCTATGGTTTTTAATATTGTGCTTGCTTATCTCCAATATTTAACGTGTGTGTGTGTGTGTGTTGTGAAGAATACAATTTAATATAGAAAACCGATTTCTTCTGCAAATAGACTTTTGTATCTCACTGTCAGTCATTGTTATAAGAATGGACATTTTGCACCTGGCAGGCAGCACAGAGATTTAATATAAATAAAAATATATATATATTTTAGTATGTAAATTTATAAAATCAATCTTTTACAAAAAAACAAAAAAAACAATTTACAACAATTTATTAAATTTATGCGGATTACTTTTCCAAAAGTGTTTTATTCCAAGATGAACTTAATTTACCTCATCTTGCTACTGACTATATATTTTATGTACCTAAAAATTGTATATAGGGTACAGACTGATACATTATGGTATAGGGGTTTATGACTATATGCATTTTTATTTTTAATAGATAAATATGAAATGGTCTCTATTTAATATGCTTTCCAAATGATTCAATACTAAAAATTTCCAAATGATTTATCTGCAAAATTTCCAATCTACCTTAGTGGATTCTTCTGTAGGTAAATCACTTGGAAATTTTAATAGAAAAAAATAAATTAAAAAATTTAATAATAAACAAATAAGGGAAATAAAACTTCGGTCCAGTGTAAATGCAAAGAACTTTTCCATTTGGTATCATGATGATCGAATATAAACAAGGTGCATCCAAAATGTTTACTATGTGTTAGTGATATGTATTATTCACTGCATATGAAGCCAAAGTATGGTATAGACAATTCATTTTCATTCAAGAAAAAAAAACAAATGTAAATGACATGAGCTAATAGAAGCTCTGGTATGTTTTTATTAGTGTCCTTTCTAGCTTTAGTCATGTGATTTTTCATGAATGAAGTGAATTGCAGCAGTAGCACAAACCCTTGCTACACATGCACACTATAGGTCTATAGGTGTTCCAGTGCTCTCAGCCTATACATTGCATCCAAGGGAGGTGTGACTGAAGCTGCATAAACAAAGTGATGTAACTCCTAAATGGCAGTATTGAGCTGTGACACTGCAGGGGCATGATCTATAGCTATACACTAGAAATACCTCATAAAGCTAAACTTGTTTTGGTGCATATATTGTTCTTTTAAAACACACAGACCTTGATCTAATATTGTTTAATTTCGAAATGATTTAATATTTTTGGCTTAACTTTTAACACACTTTTTTTTTTTAAATTAAAACAATATCAGTATAGCAAAATATTACGAAATTGTTTTTAAAATCATTAACCCCTTAAGGACAGAGCCAAATGTACACGTTGTGAACGAAACAAAATGTAAACAAAACCTGACATTTGCGCTACATGTCTGTCCAACCGTAATTCACCTCTTTCATATTAAATGCACCCACCCTTATTATATATCATTTTATTCAGGGCTTTCATTTAATATGAAATATTTAGCTATGAAACATAATTTAATATGAAAAAAATAGGAGAAAATAAGATTTTTTTTTTTTTTTTAAGTTCTACATGACATTTTAACTGTCAATGTCATAATACTGTTTGCTTTTACTTCAATAAAATACACATATTTGTATTCAGCAAAGTCTCACGTGTAAAACAGTACCCCCTATGTACAGGTTTTATGGCGTTTTGGGAAGTTACAGGGTCAAATATAGCAGGTTACATTTGAAATTGAAATTCACCAGATTGGTTACGTTGCCTTTGGGACTTTATAGTAGCCCAGGAATGAAATTTACACCCATAATGGCATACCATTTGCAATAGTAGACAACCCAAGGTATTGCAAATGGGGTATGTCCAGTCTTTTTTAAGTAGCCATTTGGTCACAAATACTGGCCAAAGTTAGCATTAGTATTTGTTTGCGTGAAGAATGCAAAAAACGCCAATTTTTGCCAGTGTTTGTGACTAAGTGGCTACTAAAAAAGACTGGACATACCCCGTTTGCAATACCTTGGGTTGTCTACTATTGCAAATGGTATGCCATCATAGGGGTAATTTTCATTCTTGGGCTACCATAGGGTCTCAAAGGCACTGTAACCAATCTGGCGAATTTTAATGTGAAAAAAATGAAACGCAAGCCTTATATTTGACGCTGTAACTTTTGAAAACACCATAAAACCTGTACATGAGGGGTACTGTTGTACTCGGGAGACTTGCTGAACACAAATATTTGTGTTTCAAAACAGCAAAAAGTATCACAGCAATAATATCGTCCATGTAAGTGCTGTTTGTGCGTGAAAAATGCAAAAAAATTCACTTTTACTGGCGATATCATCGTTGTAATACATTTTACTGTTTTGAAACACTAATATTTGTGTTCAGCGAAGTCTCCCGAGTAGAACAGAACCCCCCATGTACAGGTTTTATGGTGTCTTGGAAAGTTATATGGTTAAATATAGTGCTAGCAAATTAAATTCCATTTACTTTCGGCATGGGTTGTCAGGCAGGTCCCACTAATTGTAATTAATTAAGATACCTAATTATGTAAAAATATTTATATTTATTCATATATATATATATATATATATATTTTAAATATGTAAATACGGTCCGTGGTGAACCGTTCGGGACATCACTAGTATTTACATATTTAATTAATATATAATATATATATATATATATATATATATATTATGTAAATACTAGTGATGTCCCGAACAGTTCGACCGGTTCACCACGGCTGGAATGTGTCTGCTGACTGTGAGGTACAGGGTCAAAGTTTACTCAATGATGAGTCCGTGGTGAACTGTTCGGGACATCACTAGTAAATACGTTAAAAAATAATTAAAAAATATATAGATGTGTGTTATTTCGTTCTAACTGTATTGTGATATTAATATATATTTACAGGGAGTGCAGAATTATTAGGCAAATGAGTATTTTGACCACATCATCCTCTTTATGCATGTTGTCTTACTCCAAGCTGTATAGGCTCGAAAGCCTACTACCAATTAAACATATTAGGTGATGTGCATCTCTGTAATGAGAAGGGGTGTGGTCTAATGACATCAACACCCTATATCAGGTGTGCATAATTATTAGGCAACTTCCTTTCCTTTGGCAAAATGGGTCCAAAGAAGACTTGACAGGCTCAGAAAAGTCAAAAATAGTGAGATATCTTGCAGAGGGATGCAGCATTCTTAAAATTGCAAAGCTTCTGAAGCGTGATCATTGAACAATCAAGCGTTTCATTCAAAATAGTCAACAGGGTCGCAAGAAGCGTGTGGAAAAACCAAGGCGCAAAATAACCGCCCATGAACTGAGAAAAGTCAAGCGTGCAGCTGCCACGATGCCACTTGCCACCAGTTTGGCCATATTTCAGAGCTGCAACATCACTGGAGTGCCCAAAAGCACAAGGTGTGCAATACTCAGAGACATGGCCAAGGTAAGAAAGGCTGAAAGACGACCACCACTGAACAAGACACACAAGCTGAAGCGTCAAGACTGGGCCAAGAAATATCTCAAGACTGATTTTTCTAAGGTTTTATGGACTGATGAAATGAGAGTGAGTCTTGATGGGCCAGATGGATGGGCCCGTGGCTGGATTGGTAAAGGGCAGAGAGCTCCAGTCCGACTCAGACGCCAGCAAGGTGGAGGTGGAGTACTGGTTTGGGCTGGTATCATCAAAGATGAGCTTGTGGGGCCTTTTTAGGGTTGAGGATGGAGTCAAGCTCAACTCCCAGTCCTACTGCCAGTTCCTGGAAGACACCTTCTTCAAGCAGTGGTACAGGAAGAAGTCTGCATCCTTCAAGAAAACATGATTTTCATGCAGGACAATGCTCCATCACACGCGTCCAAGTACTCCACAGCGTGGCTGGCAAGAAAGGGTATAAAAGAAGAAAATCTAATGACATGGCCTCCTTGTTCACCTGATCTGAACTCCATTGAGAACCTGTGGTCCATCATCAAATGTGAGATTTACAAGGAGGGAAAACAGTACACCTCTCTGAACAGTGTCTGGGAGGCTGTGGTTGCTGCTGCACGCAATGTTGATGGTGAACAGATCAAAACACTGACAGAATCCATGGATGGCAGGCTTTTGAGTGTCCTTGCAAAGAAAGGTGGCTATATTGGTCACTGATTTGTTTTTGTTTTGTTTTGAATGTCAGAAATGTATATTTGTGAATGTTGAGATGTTATATTGGTTTCACTGGTAATAATAAATAATTGAAATGGGTATATATTTGTTTTTTGTTAAGTTGCCTAATAATTATGCACAGTAATAGTCACCTGCACACACAGATATCCCCTAACATAGCTATAACTAAAAACAAACTAAAAACTACTTCCAAAAATATTCAGCTTTGATATTAATGAGTTTTTTGGGTTCATTGAGAACATGGTTGTTGTTAAATAATAAAATTAATCCTCAAAAATACAACTTGCCTAATAATTCTGCACTCCCTGTATATCAAAATACACATAGAACGAAATAATATATATACACATATATAAATAAAAATATTAAAAAATAAATAATATATATATATATATATATATATATATATATATATATATATTAATAGTAAAATACACATAGACTGTGTGTGTATGTATATATGTATATATATATATATATATATATATATATAATCTAGTATATTTTTTTTTTTACACTTATTAATTTTATTTTAATTTTATTTCTAGCCAGTAATTACAGGCAGCCCCCCTGCTGGCAATACAGAAGCCAGCTATCCCGGCCATGTGATTGTGAGGTCCTCGCAAGGACCTCACTCTCACATGGCCGGGGGACACCGTAGGAGGAGGATCTGCCGCGGGGGGGGCTCCCCCGCCCCCCACTTACCCTTGGTTTGCAAATCTTGTTTTTTTTTTTTTTTTTGTGTGTGTGTGTATATTGTCATTCTGCATGTATGCATGTGGACTGTGTATATGCAGTTTATGATATTGTGTTATGTATTTTTTGTATTTTAAATGCGGGCTATATATAGGGGGTGCTTGTCTGTTTGTGTGTACGTTAATTCAGTGTTGTGTTGGTGTGGACAAATATATACGTGTGGACAAATATTGAAGCTGTGTGCTGCTTGTAGTGTTTGCATTTTGAGAAGGCTTGTTCTCTGGGTGTAATAATAATAATAATAATAATATTATTATTATTTATTTTATTATTTAAATAGAGCCATCAGATTCCATAGCGCTGTACAATGGGTGGACTAACAGACATGTAATTGTAACCAGACAACTGGATTTACAGGAACAGAAAGATGGAGGGCCCTGCTGAATGAGCTTACATTCTAGAGGGAGTGGGGTATAGTGACACAAAGGATAAAAGTAGGGGTATGAAGTAGGTGGTTAGAAAAGTATTCATCGAGGGCTTAGTAGGTAATTTTAGCAGTTGCAGGAGAGGAGTCATAGGGGGTGGGGGATAAAAACCTGCTAACAGGTTTGTGTATGTTGGTATTTGGATTCTATGATAACAAGAGAGGTTTGGTCTGGCTAGGTATAGGGCTAGGGCAGGGAGACTGAGCGCCTTCTCAAAATCTAGTAGGAATTGATCTGCAATCACTTCCTGTTTATTCTCAAGTTAACAGGGGGGGTTGTCTCTCTTTGCCTGTTGCAAATGGGCACAGATATCTGAGTAAGTCCCACTTGAACTACTGTCAGACCAAAGGGTCTCCGGGTGCAATGATTATTCCCTGTATCTCCTCAAACAGAACTGTTATTTTCATTTGCCGTTGATAAGGCCAATCCTATGTTTTGCTTATGTTCTCTCTGTGATAGCAAGCTATACTCCTTCAATTATCAATACATTATTCTCTCTTTCTATCCATTGGACAAGTGTTTTGATAATGCCTGTTGTATTTATATGTAATATACAATGTAGTGCTATACAAATGTTATTGTTTGGAGTGCAAAATATTGCTTTAAAACCTGTTTAACTATTATACAAGGTTCTGCAGGGAAAATATACACTGAATCTGAATGAAAAAAAACATCTTGTGTCCATCATTCATTGGATATATTTTATTTTTATGTTTATATGTAAACTTTGTACCCCCCCCCCCCAAAAAAATTAATTTCTGATGTTTGCGTGTAGATTGGTCAAAATATTACTTGCATATACACTTATATTCAGATATTATTAGAGTTCACCTCTGCTGCCAGGGTAGTACACCTGTTACTGTGGTTGGCCAACCACCTTCATCTGGACAGTGAAGCAACTGGCGGAAATCTGTTCAGACAGCTAGCTGGAGAGATAATTGATTGCACCAAAACTTTCTCTTCGTGCTTTAAAGTTCTTTTTTTATTAAAGGGATACTATAGTGCCAGGAATATAAAGCTGTGTTTCTGGCACTATCACTCCCCCTGCCTCCAAACTCTCTCTCCCTTTATTTACCTACCTGATCCTAAAAAAATAAAGCTCAATGGGAAGATGATACTATTACAGCCTTACATAGAGGATATATTTTCTCTGCTGTTAAGGTAAGAAGCATGAGGACATCCAGCGTCAGTGAAATTCCCATAGAAAAGCATTGCTTCAATGCTTTTCTATGAGGCGCTCATGGCGCACTCACATTAGCCCCCCACACCAAATATCATTGTTGTCAGCAGTAACTTATCTTAGATTTGGCTAACCTTGTCTTATCAAGCTTTAAGTGAAAACGAGCATGAGAATCATTGAGAGAAAATGCTTTCATTAATGGCACCTGCACTGAATAATTGAGCTTGTCTTTGGTAGGGAACTTAAAAAAAAAAAAAAATGTTTTCCAGATTTCTAGCAAAAGTTTAATTCTGAATCATTGTTTTTTCTTAGCTTATGTAACCTCTGTATTTTTTTTGTTTTTTAAACAATAATTAGTTTACACCTGTCCATACAAAAGGCTTTTAAAACAATAGACATTAAAAGGACATTAAAACAGACAATGCTCTCATAACCCTCACCATGACTATCCCCCACCTTAAACGACAATGGATGTGGAAACTGAATCAACTACTCCTACATGACAAACTAGTGACTCACGAGAAAAGCCAAAACTATCAAAGACTGTTTTGAACTAAACACTATCCCGGAGACATCCCCCAATATCCACATGGGCTACACAAAGCAGTCATTCTGGGACACCTAATTAGCCCTGGCACCTGCAAAAAAAATAACAGCATCTCACAGATGCTACGATGGAATTATGTCGCATGGAAACAAGGCACAAAAGTGACCCGAGCCCGAGAATTCTGTTCCAACTAAATGCTCTAAGGCAGTGTTTCCCAACCCAGTCCTCAAGGCACACCTACCAGTCCAGGATTTAGGGATTACCCAGTTGTCTAAGGTGTTTTTTTTTTCTTCTTTGTAAAAACACCTTAGACACAACTGGGTAATCCCTAAATCCTGGACTGGTAGGTGTGCCTTGAGGACTGGGTTGGGAAACACTGCTCTAAGGGACCAGGTGAAACTCCTCACGCAGGCCAAAACAGCAAAGGCCCTTATGTGGCTAAAACAAAAATACTATGAGAATGGCAACAAAGCGGACTCCATGCTAGCACGTCACCTCAAACATAGAATGGAAGCAAAATGGATTAACAAAATTCGCACTCCATCAGGACACAGTAGCAGCGACCCATTCTGAATAGGGGAAATTTTTCAGAGATAATTCACGTTCCTGTATAACCATGCCACCACTGGATGATTCCACAAATCAAAAGACCAT